CTTCCTCCAAATAAAGGGGCACATTTCAGCGGAACACCGACAACATTGTCATCCTTTCCAGCAAGTGTTTTGTCTGTCAAATGCCTGAGATTTCCCTGCCTGATTTGCATGAAGCATTATGCACTTGGCAAAAGAGTTGAAGGAGCACCAGGCTCAGAAGAGCAGTACTGTAATTCCTATTCAGTCATCTTTAGCACTGTGGCACTGAGGGGTTCCAAAAGCCCATCAACTGTAGTAAAAACACATGGTCGCATTCAGAGAAAAAAGTGAGATTCTGCACAGTAAGTGAGATTCTTCAAGATGTCGTAATCGAAGTAGTTTCTACCATCTGTTTTCCACTGTCTCTGTCAGATACCCTGCATTATGAACTTCTAGTTAGGAGAAACTATGGACAGGCCATTGCCACCCCATGGTGTTGGCCCACTGAAGAGGGTGTAAGGAGATGCAAATGGCCTCAGTGTGAACTGCCTGCCCAAAGATTTCCAGCCGGGGGCCACATGAACATGCGTGTGTACAGTTGAATCCATAACATTGGAAAAATACAGTTATGATTCGCTAAGTCTGTCCTGTTTCTAAAATACTTGTTAGCACCTCTTGGTGCCAAAATAGTCAGAATCTATTCCGGTGCAATTAGGAGTTGACACCCAAAGTGTGAGGCGCATACTTTCTGAGATTTTTAAAAGATTAGAGATTTGTCCACAAATGACCATTTTTAAAAGCAAACTGCCAAGCCAAGATAGAGAAAATGTTATTCATTGGTTTACTGTTATGTTTCAGAAGAATGGCCTTGAGGGTGGAGTCCTTTTTTGACTGCTTGTTTTTCACTTCCCTCTATTCTCAAGGGATTTTTGGCAGGATCTTTGGATGATATGGATTGTGATGTCACCAAAAAAATGAGTCTGGACCACAGTTCTCCCTCAGCAAACTGTCCGAAACCCTTCTTTGTCTGGATGCACTCCTACAGACGAACTTGCTTAGCTTGGCCTACTTTGAATTGTTGAGTTATTTGGTTGGAGTAGAGATGTCTTGCCAGAGCTGGGAGGGAAGAACTGGTGTCCGGAGCCAGGGATTGTCCTTCTGAGGAGGAACTTGGCTAAAGACCCATTTGTACAAAGCCCTGCAAAAACCTGCAGCCAGCTCTGCACTTCAGTTAAATGTGTATCATTTTTCAACACAGTTAAGATTAATTGCAGACAACAGCACTAAGAATATGGCTATTTGTAACACATTTTATGAAATTGATGCATATAGTGTTTCTTAGCAGTATACTGGCAGAAAGCACCAGACAGGGTCCCTATTCCCAGAGAAGAGGTCAGACACAAATTCATGTCTACCACAGGCAGATATTTATTTACAAGACTGATTTTCTCTGTAGCATTATAAACTACAATTAGCTTCCAGACACTGGCATAAATACTGGACTCACTGAGGAATTCAAGAGAAATATTGCCTTGACTTCATAATGACAGAATTTTGACCACTATTTTGGCTATGTAAGTAAGACTAGAAGGATGACCCAGGTCATAGAGTACAGAGCTGTGTTATAAACTAACATTTAATGTAATTCTGTTTATAATTATAATGATTTTCTTACTTAAAAAAAGTCTGGTTTACTTGATCTCATAATTTGGATTATTGTTTACTGCTGTAATATTTGTTGACAAAACTACATCCTTTCACAAACTTTACTTATCTAGGCTTAAAATGGTCTGTTTTTTCCAGTGTCTCCTCATAAAATGGGGCTTTGATTCCCCTGACTGTCCTCCTGGCCTTTATTCACACATGTTCCATTTTGATGCAATCTTTCCTAAAGAGGGATAGCCAGAGTTATGCTCAGTAGTCCGAGCTTTGCACTGTGGAATTGATAACTACCTTAGGAGTACCTACCCTTAAATCTCATTTAACTCTTTTCTGTTTGTTTTGAATTGTTGGATTACAATCACTAGTTGAGTTGTTCCCTGCAAACAACTGAGTTACTGGAGGGGAGTATTTTCTCTACTTGCTTTCAGGTACTTTTTACTTTCCCACATATGAAGATCTGCCAGTTGAGGTACTCCTGTAAACTATCTGATGTGAGTCAAAGTAAATGGTCATGAACAGGTTAAATAATATTTCTGCTTATTTTGATGACTTAGGTTAGGAAGTGGGTGCATGGGCAGATGGAAGCAGGCTGTGACTCCCATAAATCTGGAGCACCTGGAGTATGATGGCTTTGAAACTGGAATAGGGAGAGACAGAGGAGACAGATGCTTGTCCTTACTAGACTCTTCAGGAAGTCATTTGGGAAGATGGATAGTCTTCAATATAATGCTACTGCTTATTGAATCTTGCTCCCTTTAGATGAGCTTGGAGCAAAACTAAGACTGAGATAATCATGTGAGGCATTTTATAATCTAGTGGAGAGAAATCGTCTGAGAATGACCTGGTGTGCACTCCCTGTTCAGTCACCAGCTTGCTGTGTAATTTGGGCAAGTCATTTCATTCTTCTGTACTTCAGCTTCTCCATCAAAAAGAAATAAATTATATTTGCCTTCCTGTGTGCAGCACAGCAGCCTGCGGATGAAAGGCTTATTTATTTTTCATTAAGTAATCAGTCACAGAATTGTTTAGATTGGAATGGACCTCTTGAAATCATCCAGTGTTTGAACAGTCTCACAGTAAAAAAGTGTTCTCTTCTGTTCAGATGGAAGTTTATGTGGTATAATTTGTGCCAATTGCATCTTGTCCTGTCAGTGGCCACTACTGAGAGGAGTCTGGCTCCTTCTTCATCCTGTCCCATCAGGTATTTATGAATATCAATCAGATCTCCCTCTGAGCCTTCTTTTCTCCAGACTAAACAGTTTCATCTCTCTTAGTCTCTCCTCATATAAAACATACTGCAATACACGCATTGTCTTGGTGGCCCTGCACTGGACTCACTCCAATAAGTCCGTATCTTTCTTGAACTGGGGATCCCAGGACTGGACACAGCACTCCAGGTGTGGCTTCATCGGTCCTGAGCAGAGGGGAAGGATCACCTCCCTCAGCCTGCTGCCAGTGCTCTGTCTAATGCAGCCTGAGATGGTGTTGGTCTTCCTTGCTGCAAAGGTGCATTGCTGGCTCATAATCAACTTGGTGCCTACCAGTCCTTCTCTGCAGAGCTGTTTTCCAGCTGGTAACCCTGCAGTGTGTACTGGTGCTTAGGACTTATTCCTCTCCAGATGCAGACGTTGCCTTTCCCTTTGCTGAACTTCATGAGGTTCCTCACTGCCCGTTTCTCCAGCCTGTTGAGATCCTTCTGCTGCATCAGTCACTCCTCCCAGTTTTGCATATCTGTGAACTTGTTGAGGATGCATTCTTTCCCAGTGTTGAGGTCATGAAGAATGATACTGAACAGTGCTGGAACCATATAGGTACACCACTGTGTCTGAAGTGCACCACGTGCCTCCAGCTGGACTCTGTGCCACTGATCACAGCCCTCTGGGCCTGACGGTTCAGCCAGTTTTCAGTCCCCCTCACTGTCCACTTACCTGTGCACTATCAGCTCGTCTATGAGGGTGTTATGGGAGACAGTGTCAAAAGCCTTACTGATGTCAAGGTAAACAACTTCCACTGCTATTCCCTCCTCCACCAACCTAGCCACTGCACTGTAGAAGGCTCTAAGGTTGGTTAAGCATGATGTCCCCTTCATAAATCCAATGTGATTTCTCCTGATCACCTTTTTGTCCTTCATGTGTTTGGACATGGTTTCCAGGAGGATTTTTGCCATCACCTTTCCAGACAATGAGAAGAGGTTGACCAGTGTGTAGTTTCCCAGATCTCCTCTCTTATCCTTCTTGAAGACAGGGGGACATTGGTTCTCTTCTGTTGTTCAGGAACTGCTCTCATTTGCCATGACCTCTGTATGATAATTGTCAGTAGCATGGCAATGGCATCAGCCAACTCCCTAAGGACTCCTGAGTGCAGCCTGTCAGGGCCACTGATCAAAACACTTAGGAAACAAAGAGAAAACATTAGAAAGCCATCCATCTTGATAATCAGATTTATATTTCTTTTACACAGATTGCGTATTTGTTATACAAGGAGCTGTTCTGTGTCTGGACTACAAGATAATTAATAGGAAAATGTGACTCATGTTTTATTCCAAGTTCTGATACACCTGCTGTGCAATGAACTTTTGCACTTGGAATATGAAGCAAACCTTTAGTGTTTGTCAGTCCATTAACAGTATTTAGTTTTATTAAATTAGAGACTTTTGCAAAAGTCATACTCTGCACAAATAATTATCTGCAGTATGCTTATCATCTTAGTTTCAGGGTTGGTATCAGTTGGTATCTATATCAATTTTTATTTCATATGTGATGTGATCAAAATACCATATAGCTTTCTGTCTCTCTGTGCAATACTTCTGCATTTACAGAGATACTTCTGAGTAAAACAGATTAATTGAATAATAACCTCAGGAAGAAATAGTTCTGCAAATTAACTTGTGATGACATTCATCTGTCTTTCATATCAGGCAGTGATTTGTCCTGCATTCAGGATTTTAAAAGGTTGCTTGTTGCTACTGCTGCTTTTGATAATAAAGGAAAGCAATCCAACAGATCCTTTTATTGTGCAGAACTCTATCTGAACTATTTTCTGCTGGATTATCAGTCCCTGGACTGTGTCTTTATGTGGAAGGCTAAGGGAAGCTGCAGCTTTGTTCACTGAGGAAGGAATACCTCCAGTACAGTGGCTTATTACATACAGCGTGCTAATGGATACTTCATTTGGCCATGAGTGCCTTTTGGATGAGTGCACTACTCTGTGTGTAGATAAGAGAGGGAGGAAAGAACTGACAGTCTTTTGTGTTTTGGGGGTTTTTTGTTTGGTTGGTTTGTGGGTTTTTGTTGGTTTATTTTGAAGGTTTTTTGTGGTTTGTTGTTTTTTTTTTTTCAACTGGCAGAGGCAATACCATTTACTAAGGCTGTATTAATATATTGTTGTGTTTTTCTTTCTTTTCTAATTTCTGCAGATCTTTCAATGGAAGAATGCTGTGACAAGGGTATTGAATGGGCAAATAAAAACAGAATATGTACTTCTCTACCATTAATATCTGAGTCCAGAGAATGCAGGTATATAGTTATTTATTATATATTAAACTATAGTTTATCTTTCAATGTAAAACCATGGGAATGGCAGGTATGAAAGCTGATGTTAAGATGAAGCATTGAGCTCTTAAATTGGAGTTTTCCAATCCATCTCTAGCCTTGGGAAAACCCGAGTACTCACTTTTCTTCCATTAAGACCTTCTAATTTTTGCTGTTGATCTAGTGCAGAGTCACTCAGCTCTAACCTGTTTGGCATGTGCTGTCTCTTAGAAGTTTTTTTCACTGTACTCTACTCACAGGGCTTGGACTCTGCCTATAGTCAATATATCTCAGCATGGCTCCACTAATGTCAGTAAAGCTTCTTCAGTTTGTACTGATTGTGAATCTAGCCCAGTGATGGTCCAAATTCTTGATCAAAAGTGTTTGAAGAAACACAGCAGATCCTGTACATGAATAATCTATAGACTATATAGACATATATGTCAGTATGTAAGACAGCCTTTTAAAACAGTTTCTCCTGTGTGGTGCCACACAAATAATTGCCCTCTAGTTCTCAGTTGAATTGCTGGATGGGGGGAACTTAAAGCTTAAGTCAAGGCGATTCCTAATCATATAGAGTGTCCGACTTCTGTCAAATGTGTTTGGTCATAGAAAATAGTAACCTTTAGTTAATTAATAGATTTCTTAATTCTATTCACATTTAATAGGATACTGATTTCTATCATGTAATCTAGCAAATGAAATAATGAAGTTAAATGTTACAATTATTTGCAGAGTGACATTTTGGTTACACTGAATCTCTTACATGGTTTGAGCATTCATACTTTTTATGTTAATGATAGTTTGCATTATTTTTTTGCTGTTAAATGCACTTGTTACATTTGATTTACTGAGCTAACAATTTGTGCTTGGTAGTTTGAGAGGCAGTTTCACAGAGGACTTTGTATTTAAAACACGTTACATTGCTCCCCTCTATCTTTTCAAATGGCTTGCAAAGTGATTTAATCTTGGGAATTGTAGAAGTGTTGGATTAATATTTATTATGGAAAGAATGTGTCTTGCAGGCAAGTCTGTCCATGTTTTTTGACTTTTGCATTTATATTGGCATAGAAAGCGGTCTCTTACGCAGAAGAATTGACAGATAGGACTTAAATCCCAATTTAGGAAATACTTGAAGAGTCAGGAGAGTTAGAGACAGAACAGAGGCAGGGAAAACAGGAAACCAAGTTTATTGAACAATCTGGGAGCAAGAATCTTGATGATTTAATGATAAATTGATTAATGTGAGTTGCAGTTCTACTGTAAATGTAATATATTCTTTTAAGGATTTCCATTTTAGAGAGTATTTAGGACTTCACAGGAACTGAAAAAGGTTTACTAATACTTCATCTAGTTTTTTTGCATAACTGATATGTAATTATGAAAATAGTGATGCAATGGTAAATCAGAAATGGGTAAATGGACATATTCTGTGAGAGGCATGAGCACTTATTGACAAAAAAAAAGAAGTGGATAAATTCAGTTCAGTTGCATTTATTCATAACTGTATGATAAATAAACATAGCCCCCCCTGAAGCTTGGCTTCACTATAAAAATGAGTAAGTAAAATTGGCACCTTTGACTACTGTCTTTAAAGGCAATATTATTTTACCCCAGTTATGATTGCAAACTGGCATATCTGTAAGATGCACAGAAAAATCACTTCATAATGCCATTTCAGACACAAAAGTAAGGGCCAAATTCTAGTTGCTGGTGTAACTGGAGCCAGGATTAACAGTGAGAGAGCATGATTCCCTTTGCAAGCACCTGAGGGAAATGTCACGGATTTTGTGCATTTACTTCTACTGCACAGAGATGCAAGCAAAACCAGGTTCCTTGCAATTGCTGAGGTCTAGGCAGGTGAGAATATGACACAGGATGCCTTATTTATTTGTTACAGATTTTCAAAAGAACCTTCTTCCTATTTAGACACCTACATGCTGTGGGAGCTGCTGGAGGACAGATATCTATCATTTATGTGGTTACTTAAACCCCAGCTGGAATATTTTGACTATCTGGTGCAGCAGCATTGGACAGTGTTGATTGTCTGACTCTGAGTGCTCTTAAAAAGCCACAGCCTCTTGGATTTACAAACCCGTATTACTTCATGCCAGATGGAGCTGTTTGCCCTGCATATTTCAGCTTGGGTTTGCAAGGTTAGCAGCTGAATGCAAGGGAGAAATACACTGTGAAGTGAGCAGATTTGAGGAAGTAAAAATGATTTTGTGCAATTACTTTGCAAAGACTGTGCAACACAGAACAGATTGGATGTGAGTACTTTCTCCAACACACTTTACAAGAATTTACATGCTGCTTTTGAATCCTCTGCTTAGAATAGTAATAACAGCATCTCAGGTTCAGTCCTTTCCTGAAAGTAAGCCCACTGCTAGAGTTTCTTTTGTTTTTGTTTGTGTGAGGAACAAGCTGCCTTATTGAATTAGAATTGCAACCCTTTGACCTTTTGAAACAATTTAAAGCACATTTATAGTGATCAAGAGGGGTTTCCACACAAGCACTGACATTTCTTACATCTGCCGTGCATCTTAGAAATAAGCTGACAGTTCTGGGGTTCAACATCTTTTTAGGATCCTTCCCCCAAAGTCTCTTGTAGTTCTCGAGTGACTTGCCATCTGTGTGAGCGTCGCTTGCTGAATCTGGTGCAGTTCAAACTGCAGATGTGCTCACTTTCTTGTCCTACACCACAAGTGAGCCAGCCCCCTGTCTGAAGTGCAAATGAATTCGTAAGAACTATCTGGCCACTGTTGCTCAGTTGCATTTATGTTGAAACAAGGCTCCAGGCTCAATGTCCAGTCATGTCTGCAATCTCTTATTGTGGTTGCTTGTCCCACAGATGAGTACACCTCATTGTATTATCACTCTGGACAATGACAGTCATTTTCTCTGTGTCTTCATGACTCAGTAAATATGAGTGTAGAGTTTTAATGAATAATATCTATGTCGTATATCTGCTGTCATAGCAGCAGCTTTTTGCCCATTCATCCATTTTCTTGTGTTGCGTTTAAACTTGCACCAGCTGGAAACAGCTGCCATTTATTTTTGGAACTCAACCTGCCAATAAATCTTCTTCCTTTCCAAATGAAGAGCTCTTAGCAAGTGAGCTTAATTCTTGGACCAGAAACAGTGTATCTCCATGTGAGAATTGCATGCCTTTAGCACTGTGTAAAGTGTTTTGGAGTTACATTGGGAATAACCTTATTTATTATCAGTGTTGCGAGAATGTATAAAAGAAGAAGCTACAGAACACTCTGCTAGGTACTGTGCAAAAACAGAACAAAAAGGTGATCTGTATTCCCAGACAGAGTCAGATGGGAACACAAGGAAGTAGTAAGACAAGAGTGTTTGGAGTGATAGGCACCAGATGCTTCACTGCTGATAGATGTTTATTGATTTATGCCATTGCAAGTCTGGAAGAGCCTGAAATTTTGGACATCAAAGTTGTGACAGTTTTATGGCTGAAAAAGCTGTTTAAAGTTATTTTTGGAGAAGTTGCCTATATTAATTATTATCTCTTCTCTCTAGCCTGCTAAGAGTGCCTCACAGTCACTAAAATTTTTGGCTTCACAGTCAGAGGGGCAGAAGAACAGTCTGACAGTCTGCTATGTTGTCAGGGTTTTATTGACACTCACTTAGGGTAACTTACTTACTACACTTTGTGAATGATGTCACACTCAGTCCTTTCTCTGCCACAACATTATCAGTTTTGTTTCTCTACATGGTGTAGATTTAATTTTACCCTTTACCTTCAAGAAAACATTTATTAAGTAAACTCCAAAGTTGTTTATAGATCGTATAAAACTGGTTAATTTTGAGGTTTCTTGAATAAAATATTTTTACTTTAGTCCCTTGCTAATTTATAACACATGTTCAAATATATGTATTTTCATCATAGAGGCACTCTTTATTATTTTCATTTGTCATATTGTTTCACTCATAATACCAGATCTTGCTCTAAGTTCATTTCTGTTTGCGTGTTAAACTGCAAACTGAAAGGAGTAAGTGTGGAAGACCCAGCTTGTTTTTGCAAAATAATTCTTAAGTGGAATAATTCCCTTTTTAATGTTAATATTTTTTGTCAAAGTTCTTCCACTGTGCACATGAACGGTGCTGACATAGTTTGAAGACAGGGTAGTAAGTAGAAGGAGAGAGTCAGAGAGGGCGATGATATTCAGCTGACAAAAAAGACATTGTTAAATTTTATGGAAAATTATGGCCATTATGGAAAGAAATGAAAGGAAAAATACTACTTTGAAATCTGTGCTGGTTTAGGAGTGCAGCCTCTGGGAAGAAGAATAATAAATGTGAAAGGATTATGGAGGTAGAGGGACATTTAGCTTTCCAGCTGAAAAATTATTCCATGAAAATCTGTAACACTGGTTAAATTTTAACAGAAAGTAAAAGAATATAAAAATTATTTCTTAACTTGATTTATAATCAAATTACCTAGTAATGAAATGACTTTAATTTTAGATCAGCATCTGCAACAAAGAATAAGGTCTTTTTAAATGTCTTAGTGATTTCTGTCACTAGTGAGCCATGAATAAAACTCATCTTTCAAAAAAAAAAAAAACCCACCAGAAAATACATTATTTTACCTGAAATATCCTGAGCCGATGTCAGTTATGAGGCCTGATGCTCCTAAAGATTCTTTATTTAGTACTTTAAGATTTCAGCTATATTGTAAGTACCTATTTATTTCAATAAAGTTCTGTTGCACTGTCTTAAGTGAAATTCAGATTATGGCAGATAAGGAAGAAGTAGCCTTTGACTTTTTTAATTATGAAGAGTAATTAAAAAAAACCGCAACCAACAGGAAAGTACTCCTCTACTTCCTCTTGTTTTAGAGACCAATATTGTAAGCTATCCATAGACATGAAGTTAATAGGAATGCTACACAGGAAGAGTTGAAAGGTTTTACGCAAAAAGGCAAATCTAGATGTCCTATTAGCCGTTAGTGATGGGTCCTTTACTCTGCTGTGAAGTAGAAAGTTGGTATATATTGTATTAGGATCTAAGCCAGGGAGACACACATAACTTTAGCAAAGACAAGGAGAGATGATACTCTTCATCTCAAAAGTCTTGGAGTCTGAAGAGCTTGTGGTGCTATGCTCTAGCGACCATCGGCACGTGGGCTGGTGTGCAAAGGTAAAAGGGTGGTCAGCAGGGCAGGTTAAATTGCAGCTGTAAGACCAGTACTGTGCAGGTTTTTCTGGCATTTTTCTCTGCCATATTTCAAGGATTTCTACCTGTTACAGCCACACAAGTGTTCACAGTCTCAAACAATATTTGCTTCCAGTGCAACTTCACTGTAGGATTTGGGCAATGAAGTGTGATTTTATTGTTGTTGTTCTGGGACTGAACAAATGGTATTTTAATCTAGTACTCAACTGATCTTTAATTCCTCATTACAGTTGGGGTGGGCCACGTGACTTTTGAATACAGCTGTGGGAAACATCTTAAGAAACTTTTTTGTTTTGGTTGAAATTGCCAATTTGTCAGGGATTTCAAAGAGGTGACTTGTATTTGGAAAAAAAAAAACAAAAACAAACTGGAAATCATACACATTACTGAAAGACTGCTGTTGTTTGTTTGTTTGTTTGTCTGTCTGTGGCCAACATATGGAGCTCCTCAACAGGGCTTGGAGGGCTAAAGGAGCTGGAAAGTCTCAACTCCCACACTCTTGGGCTAGAAGTTCAGGTTTTACAGGCTTCCAAAGTTCTGACAGTCAGACCACCCCAGAGCTGGGCAGGGAATGGAAATTCTGCGTCAGAGGGAATTTCACCAACAAAAAAGCTACATATTATTCCAAACTGGAACTAAACCAAATATCAAAACCTTCAAATATTCTGCCAGATAAAGTTACTGTCCTGGGCTTAACTTCTAGCTGTGACTTTAGAGTCTATTTTTGAATAATTTGTTCATTAACTTATCCTGGGTTTTGTCCCTATGCATTAAAATCTCCTAGTTGTTTTCGTCCAAGGCAGAACTGCACAGTCAGACCATTACAAAATCCAGTAAATAAAAATTGGGACTCTTCAGAAATGTAGCTTGACATCCTCACCTCACCAGTATGCACAGAGATGCAAAATTTGAGCCCGGTACCCGCATGTCCTATGCTTTTAGTAGGCTGGACTGGCTGGCTTGGTCTTAGAGCTGAGAGAGTCCCTCACGCTGCCTGGGAGCTGAAAGTTCATTCTGTGGTCACTGAGAGCAGGAAGGCTCCTCCAGAAGTGATGCATAGGAATCCACCTCTTAGATGACAGCAGGAGAAGCCTGTATTTCAGTGGTGGAATTAACCTATCTGTCTTCCTTATACTCCAAAATTTATAGTAATGTAAATGAAATATTTTTAAGAGTAAAGGGTATTGGTTTTCTGAATATGTACATAATTTGATGCATTTCTAGGTAAACCTTGAAAAGATTTTACTCATTGGTTCAAATAACTGGAGTTGAGGGGGGAAAAAAGAAAAGGTGAATTTTCCTAACAGCAAAGATAGTGTGTTCAATGTTGTTGGTCTGTAAGATGTATAAGATTTCCCCTGCTGATGGGTATAAAAGTGCATATATAGGGTTTTTCTGTGTGTTTCTTACAGAATTCTAACATATCAGGGCATGCCTTTTAGGTGCCTCTGTTTTACCCTAAATGGGATTTATCAGCTTGGATTGCCTTTGGGATAGTTTTCCCCTAGCAACTCAGGTAACATTATTCTTAATGAAATTGAGTTTGTCACAGAACACATGGATATGTTTATATCCTAATATGTGTAATCTGCTTTGTTACTCTTCTTTAAGTTTTTTCTTTGTTTTCCATTGTCTATTATAGAAGGTAGTGGTGGAAGAGCTTTAAACTGCAAGCTCCACCCACAGCGCTACCCAGCAAAGCAGAGTTGCAGGTGAAAACAGAGTGGAAAGAGGGGAGATATCTCCTTGAATGGGCTTTGCATGCAAGTGACAGTAGCAACAGGATTGGAGGAGTTTAAAGCCTCCTCATAGATTGTTTTATTCACTGAAACCGAGATAAAATAGAATGATTTTATGAGCAGTGGAAGTAAAAAAGCAGAGTTTCCTGTAGATTTATATCCTATCTCCTCTTTGCATCTTCCTGCCCTGTAATACTCTTATTTTCTCCCTTGTATTCCTTGACCTTTTGCTTGCAATACACTCTGTTTCTCACTATAACTTTCCTCGGTATCTTCATTTCTCCCCATATCTCCTGTTGTCCCACAGAGCAATGCTGAGCTTCCTTCAACATGCCAGATGTGCTTGAGCAAGGGGCAGCAGGTGCTGGGGTAGGCTGGCCATGGGACTGCAGACTTTCACAATGTCCAGGGCCTGCCTTTTCCCTTCCATCAGCTGAAGCACTGGTTTGGTTCTCACCACCCTCTGTTCAGCCACCAGCTGTCACAGAACATGCAAGAATGCAACATCCCAGAGACCTTGAGCCCTGTGGCAAATGTGGTTGAAGTTATCCATTTGCTTAAAAAAAGGTTTTTTGAAAGGCTGCAAGGTAGACAGGCAGTTAAACTGTATTAAACATATGACCTTAACTGTATTTAACATGTCACCTAGACATTCTGCCTATTTTGAGCAAGTAGCTTTACTTTGTAACTACAATGCATGCCCACAGGAACCTCTTGCCATGAGACAAGTGCTAATTATCAAAACTTGCATTATCTGTTCTTGGCCTATATATGACATTCTTCTTCCATTGCTTCCATCCTTTTGTCAGCATGACTCAGGTACAGTGCTGCCACAGCCAGATGGAGAAGCAGTATTGTTCAGATGGGATTGAATTTGCCAACGTGCGTGAGGAGTGTGACTCACATACTGGTGAAAATTCCACCTGTGAAGCTGAATACTTCAAGGTGAGACATCAGAGCTACTCCTGTTTATCTTTAAGAAATTATATTGACTGTCTGGATTGGTATTAAGGGTTGACCCTGAAGGTCACTGTACTCAGTTTGATGCACATAACCAGTTCTTCCCCATCTACACCTCGTGTCTCTACTAAACACTTTGTGCTTCTTTGAGAGAAATAGTTCCTTGCTGGGTGAAGCAGACTGTTTTGTATTTTTGCAGATGCTGAGGGTAGAATGCAGAGAGGTGGAAATTCTTGAATGAGTTAATGGCTAGAAAACTACTTTTATATGAAAAAAGACAGCACTGTAGGAAGGGATGGGTGAGAAACTCAGTCTCATTTCAGACTTTAGCTTTCATTAGAGCTTCATGGCCTAAGGTCAGACTTAGTGGTTTTCAGTATTGGTGGCCCAAAGGGGTAGAACTGAAGTTAATCCTCTCAGTGTACTTATAATTCCAGCTTGTGTATATGTCATTAGTTAACATGACTTTGATTTACAATTGAATGGAGACATCTGTAAGCTTGTGATAAAACATTTGATATTAGAATAAAAATGTCTTAAGATACCTTTGGCATCTTTAGTTAATCTATGCCCTTCCCTCCACCTTTATAACTGTCTTTGTCTGTCCATTCTTGAAAGGGAGCATGTTCATACCAGTATGCAGAGTGTTTTTGAAAGAAGGTTCCACGGGTAGGATCATGACCTTGACCATGACTCAATCATGAACAGCTCTATTCCTGTTATGGATTTCTTTCAATGGTGATGAAAAGAGATGAGAGTGATTTTTAATTCTTCCCACTGCTCACAGACACTGAATGTTTTCATTCATTCAGTTAAAAAAAATGTACTATGTAGAAGATGGCAGAGCATGACTGACTCACAAGCTTGATATCTCTTCAAAATGCCAGCTTGATTGTGTTCCTGGCAGTAGGATGCTGCTGATGCTAGGGCTGTGAAGTAATCTACATTCTCTCTGACTAGAAGAAAGGTAACACATGCTGATGAGGCTGGTGTTGTTGGCTTGTCACAGACTCGTTTGCACGTGCAGTATGATTTTTGTCCCATGGTGGAGTGTGTCTCACATTTCTCACCTGTTGGCCGCATCCAAGGTGTGCCCTGCTCCTGGCATGGAGATTGCACTGTGCAGCCTTTACTGTTAGGAGGCCTGTCCACCCCAATCTGAATGTGGCATGAAAAAATACTTAGCTGTCTGTTTCAGTACTTTGAAGGGCTATAAACAGATAAATGGACAAGGACTGTGAGGGTGAGTACTCTGCAGACTCAAATGTTTGCTACCAGAGACAGGCTTATAACAGCAGCACTATTTTAAACGCATGCCATGGGACAACTCTGGAACAGAATGCAACTGTTCACGAGACTGCACTTTCCCATCAATTGACTGATGTTTCCCTATGTGGGCTTGTCAGTGTAAGGTAGAAGAGTTAACACTGTTGTTTTTTAAAGTGGCCAGGCTTCTTTAAAGATGGCAGATTTTCATGGTGGGAGCTGTATTATTAAACAATGCACTGGGCCTCAATCTCTGGCCCTGAAAATAAGTGGCTCATGTCACGTAACTGTCATGTTTCCCCTGCAAAACATAGTGCATGAGGGCTGTTGGGAACACTTGCTGGCCTGTGCTAACCCCAAAATGTGCTTCAGCATTGTCTGAGAGGATGTTAGTTGCCCTTAAAGCTTGCTGATATTTAAATTTTACAGACAAATGCAGTACAATGCCTGATCCCACATCCTGTCATAATTTAACAGGATAATTTAACATAATTTAACAGGATGTTCATAAACATCCTGTTTAATTTACTAGAATAAACATAGTTGGTGTTATTTAATCTTTGTGAGCCACGTTCTGCTCCCCCCACTCCCTAATAGGAATATCTTACACTTGATAACTGTACTGAGATAGCTGTAGGAGTATCTTCATAGATAATATCTTGATCTGTAATGGACACAGATGATTTATGATCTAATGTCAATGAACAGTTGATAATTTCTTTTGTTGAGTACATTCTTGAGATATAAAATTCATCTGGCGGTTGTGCCCTGCTGTGGTAAACTTTTACATTCACACCAAGGCTGTCTCACATGTTCTCAAATCTTATTTTGCCTAATTTGGTCCATCTTAGTTTAGCTCAGATTGCATGGGATATCTTTTGGATCCTCTTTGTCTCCTTCAAGGAAGCAGAAAAAGTGATTTAGTAATTCAGTTAGTATGATTAATTGCAGCACTTTGCAGCAAATGAGGCAGCTAATCTTTTGAATCCAAAACTTGTGATTGGAAAAAAGATAAAAAGACTGTATTTTGAAAACAGTTGCCTCAGCTTTTACAGTTATGGGTGGTAGGCATAAGTAATGATGAGCATAATTCTACTCCTCTGGTGTTTTTTTGAAGCATAGCTTTTCTTGCCTTGAAAAGTAAGGATGCAAAATAATTCATTAATCTTTGAAATCTTCCTCAAAAGATGGTAATCAATTTCCAGATTAGTTGGCAATATAGGAGATATAGAAATGGTGCTATGAAAGCTTATACCACAGCACCCCTGAAAAATGGAATGAAGCTTGTAGAAATTTGACCTTCTTTAAGGTGCTCAGATATTTTCCCCCAAATTTATCATAGGTATTTGCTTTTTCTAAAGATTGAGATATGGCCCAGTTTCATCAAGAATACTTTAATTGTGTGTATTAGGTGAGCACAAAAGTTGTACTGCTTTAGACTGTTGAACATATTTTTAATTTTTGTTCAGATCTTCAAAAGTTGTAAAAAATTCGACCGAGTTACTTGTATTTTTTTCAGTCCGTTCTTCATAGCATCTACTAGTTAGTCTGGATTTCAGCAAGTGAGAGACCTCTTGTGGACAGACACACAAAAGCAGTGTTATTACATAGTTCACCCTTCAAGATCTGGTATAGTCACATAAATTATAAAGAACTATTATAAAATTTAACCAGTTAAGAGACCTTATTGATGAAAGCAATTTCAGGTGCTTCCTCTCACACCAAAAAGAAATCTTCAAACTTCTCACATGTATCTGTTTATTCCTTTATTCCTTCCATCTTTATTCCTTTCTGTGAGAAGTTAAGCTATAAGAGCAATCAACGAAGCATAGGACTTTGAGTAGGACACAGCTTTCTATCCAAACATGGAGATCAAGACCATGGCTTTGAGGTTGCATGGGCTTTTGCTAGTAACAGGGGAGAGGCAAAGAAAAAGAAAATTGAGATTTTTATTGGGATCGCTTAAGAAGCAAAGACTTAAAGGCAGTGAAATTGTGTGATAACAACTCTCTGGTGAGGTAGTACCATCCATCATGGAAGGTGGGTGGCCATCACAACATGTGTTTGGGCAACTGGCGACCTTTGGAAAATGGCTTCAAACACAACAAGAACTGAACTACTATGGAATCTAAACTGCACTCTGGACTAAAGGATCAAAGTCTTTCAGAATAGGCTAGCAACCCTGAAAAAGTGAGCGTGGAAAAGGAAATAATGAGATTAATCCTACCAGGATAAGGATAGTTTTAATGACATAGTGCTTTGTGTCTCAGAATTCCTGAGTGCTCCATGAACATAAGTTAAACTAGCCTTACCACTGCTGTGTTATTACCATTTCACAGAGAGAACTGAAAGAAGAGGAGAATAAGTGACTTTCCGAGTTCACAGGTGAGATATGTGCAGAGGTATGCAGTCTACAGAGTCCTGGATGTGCTCTGAGCACAAAGTCATTCCTCAGCTTCTCCATCTCTTTTCTTTAGTTGAACAGGAAATGTTAGCCTTTAGGACTGTCAGTGCAGAATTTTCTAGGGTCAATGTTTAAAGCCAGTTACCATAAACATCAGTTAAGAAAACATTTGGCACTTTCCATCTCTGGATCATTTTGGCTTTGGTATAGCAAAAAACACTATTATTATCAAGATGTTATATCAAGATGCATTGTGCACAGTTACAATAAATACAGGTTGGAACAAATGGTTCAATGCATGCAATTATGTTAAATGAAGATAGAGTTTCTGACAGACATTGCAAGACTTAGCAAGCTCTATTCCTGAAGATTTACACTAGCTGGAAACAGAGTTCTTTCAAGTGGTGGCTCAACCTGGAATAAATAAAGAACATAAGGTTATTTAGCACTTCAAGAATGGCAAGATTAATGGTCACTTTTTACAAAGAAATCCAGAGAAACTCTGTAACTCCCAATTTGAGCTTTGTGTGACAAGACAAAGAAATAGATCAAGTCAATTCGTATGACTAACAGTAGAACCTAGCGAGAACATCTGGAAGTATATAATGTCAAAATTTTACAAGGCACTTGCTGTATTCAGTAACTTAAATAAGATTTGGTTATCAAAAAGATGCAAGCTTAAGTGAAACAATGAATCTTCAGTTCAGTTTTAATTTTTGTCTTCTAATTCATAGTTGTGAAAATTGGAAAGCTAATAAAATTATAGACAGATTTTTAAAACTTTGAGAAGGATCCCTCAAGAAAATGTTGAACATGTTAGAATAAATATTCAGAAATGTTGCAATTCTTGGAGGAGATAATCAAGAATTTATTTCCAAAGTCATCCAGAAAAGCCAGAAAAGGTGGAAATATCCCAGACATATTAGTGGTGAAACCAGAGCATTTGCCACTGGGTTGAAGTAGTTGGAGAACCAAGTAAAAGAAGTGGGTAGTAGTGAGGAAGCATCCTGCCAAACAGTAGTTAGTAAGGGAAAACATGTGTCTTAACATTATGGGGGCATGAAAACAACACCCCAGCACTGGCCAGGAGGGAAGAGTTCCTGCCATACAGCATTCTGTAGCAGAGAAAGGATTCAGTTGTGTATGTAAAAGACAAAGTACAAAATAGCTTGCTTATGTACAGCGTGAACTTCAAAATGCTGCGAAGTGAAAAAAGATTGAAGAACAAGGAGAAAAGTATTTTATTATTTTACTTCCACACTGCTCTAGATTTTAAAAGAACCTTTCACTGCAGTACAAAGAAAGAAGCATAATACCTTATAGGGAAAACTTAGAATACTAAAGAAAACTTATATATGAGGGCTATACCTCTCAAAGTAGTGAAAGGACTATCATAGTTTCCTTCTTTTCAGTAGGTGCAGTGCTTAAAGGACCAAATTAGAGAAATTTAGTTCAATGTTTATTCCATTTGCTTTGTTTACTGGTGCATTCTGTTTTCTTTAAGCAAAGAAAGAGTCTGGAAGAATAATAAAATTAACAATAAAAGCTTAAAGCTGCTTTTACATGATAGTAATAATTGGCAGACACCAGTTTCAGAGAACCAAACATTTTTGCTGCTTTCTAACAGCAAGGTAGGAAACTGAATAAATCAGCAGTGTCCCTTCAATTTAAAATAAAAGGAAATCTCCATGGGATTAACTTGCTCTATGTTCACTTCTGTGGTGTATTTCAGCCCATAGTTCAGCAGGTCTTTGAAGAGGCGGATCATGTTTCATTGCTGGAAGCTATATCAGGACTGTGATGCTATTAGATGATGTTTGACTATGCAGTCTGTCTTTCAGAGCAGAATAGCTTCTCTTTATGAGCTGTTAACGCTAACCTTGGATGAATCATGTTTGTTTGCTTGTTTGTCCCTTCAGAGAGGGGTATATTTTGCAGGGAAAGTTGAGTAAGTGGTTTAGTTATAAACTGAGTCATGCACTTCATAGATCACATCTGAACTTGATGAACTGGACACAGAAGGGAAGGAGAGATATTAATGAGTTCCCACTGTTCGCTGGTGTTTGAAATTTGGTGATGCAGGCAGGGAGCAATGAAATTCCATATACATACGTGGACCATTCTGGTCCTCCGCATCACCCTGCACACACATTTGCACATACACAGTACTTGTGAGAACTGAATGCATGTTCTGTGGTTGGCTCTGTGTGGGCCAGATGCAAACCTCACTGAACTCAACTAGAGATTTAAATGTCTGAGCCTAAGTATACCAGGAATTCTTGAAGAGTCTGCAGAAAATCCTCCATCAGTTTGCCAAGGTGGTACACCACCATTGACACTACTGGCAAAATTTGCATTCCAAATTCCTACCTTTCAGGGGTAGGATTTGACTCTTTTTTTCTTCTTTTATTTTTTTTATAGACATGTTGTTACTGTTGCTTGCTGGGAAAGGCTGCCCAAGTTCAAGGACAGAGTTGTGAACCCAACCCGAAGACGGGATACCAGTGTGGAATTGTCTTCAAAGCTTGCTGTGTGAAGGGTCAAGAAGGCATTGATGTGTCCGTCAGCGATGATGCTCCTAAAAAGGAGCAAGGTATTTTATGTTGCTGATTATGAAAGAGTGAGACACAAAATGATATGGGGTACAAGAAGTGCTTGTACTTTAAATTATTTCTGCTGGAATTCCTCTAACTGGAGATCTCCTCTAAGTAATTTAATTTTGCATGTTTTGAATCTCATTGTTTTGACTAGTGATAGCTGAAATGTTTTATACCACAGGAGGCTAAAAGAACTGTAGGTGGTCACTCAGTTTCTGGTGTCAGAAAGTAATTGTAAGACAGATTACTTTGGCCACTAATGATCATTATCTTGGAAATTGTCTCAGCAGGGAATTCTCCTTGTCCATTTGCTCTGGCTGAAGTGACTGGACTGGTAGATACCTTGTACTTAGACAGCTCTACTAATAACAAAATATAGCAGACTCACTGTACCTGCATGACATCAGAAATACATCAACACCTAAAAATCCAGAATTGTGATCACAGTGTACTGCATTTCCCCACTTACCCTTGTAGGCAAGTGGCATGCATAATAAATGTTATGTGTATGGTTAGTATGGTTATTATGGCACACATAATAACCATTATGCATTGCAAAGATGGGTCAATGTCAACAAGCAGGGCAGGACTGTGCTCATCATCAAACTAAAAAACAAGGAGGTGGGTGAACGTATGTCAAATATCTCTATTGCTAATAAAAATTCCCAATAAAAAGGCAGTGCAAGCAACATGAATAGACACCTTTGTTAGTTATGAAGGGGAGATCAGTCTCCATTTTGTAAGGCAGCTTCTTGACATGAGAAGCCTCTTGCCTGATGAGATACATCCCAGAGTCCTGAGGGAACTGGCTGATGTAGTCACTTAGCCACTCTCCATGATATTTGAAAAGTCATGGCAGTCAGGTGAAGACCCCGGTGACTGAAAGATGGGAAACATTGTGTCCATTTAAAAATTCTTTAAAGAATTCTTTCTTTAAAGAAAAGAGGACCTTGGGAACTACCATCCTGTCATCCTCACCTCTGTGCCTGGGAAGATCATGGAACAGATCCTCCTAGAAGCTATGCTAAAACACATGGAGGACAGGGAGGTGATTCAAGACAGCCAGCATGGCTTTATCAAGGGCAAGTCCTGCCTGACCCATGTGGTGGCTTTCTCAGATGGAGTGACTACATTAGTGGACAAGGGAAGAGCAATGGATGTCATGTGTATGGACCTCTGCAAGGCCTTTGACATGGTCCCCCACAACATCCTTCTCTCTAAATTGGGGAGATACAGATTTGATAGGTGGACTGTTCGGTGGATAAGGAATTGGGTGAATGGTCACATCCAGAGGGGAGTGGTCAATGGCTCAATGTTCGTATGGAAGGCTGTGACAAGTGGTGTCCCTCAGGGGTCCGTACTGGGACCAGTGCTGTTTAATATCTTCATCAGTGATTTAGACCGTGGGATTGAGTGCACTCTCAGCAAGTTTGCACATGACACCAAGATGAGTGGTGCAGTTGACATGCCAGAGGGATGGCATGTCATTCAGAGGAACCTGGGCAAGCTGGAGAAGTGGGCCCATGTGAACCTCAAGAGGTTCAATGAGGCCAGGTGCAAGGTCCTACACCTGGGTTAGGGCAACCCTTGGTATCAGTAGAGGTTGAAGGATGATGTGATTGAGAGTAACCCTGCAAAAAAGGACTTAGGGATACTGGTGAATGAAAAGCTGGACATGCACGCTCACTGCCCAGAAGGCCAACCACATCCTGGGCTACATTAAAAGAAGTCTGACCAGCAGATGGAGAGGGGTGATTCTGCCCCTCTTCTCTGCTGTGGTGATACCTCATCTGGAGTACTGTGTCCAGCTCTGGAGCCCTCAGTACAATAAGGCATGGAACTATTGGAGTGGATCCAGAGGAGGGCCACAAAAATGATCAGATGGCTGGAGTACCTCTCCTGTGAGGACAAGCTGAGAGAGCTGGGGTTGTTCAGCCTGGAGAAGACTGTGGGGAGACCTTATTATGGTCTTTTGTGGTACTTAAAGGGGGCCTAGAAGAAAGATGGGGACAATCTTTTGAGCACGGCATGTTGTGACAGGACATGGAGTAATGGTTTTAAACTAAGGGAAGGTAGATTTAGACCTGATATAAGGAATAATTTTTTTTACAATGATGGTGATGAAACACTGGAACAGGTTGCCCAGAGAGGTGGTAGAGACCCCTTCCCTTGAAACATTCAAGGTCAGGCTTGATGGAGCTCTGAGCAACCTGATCTAGTTGACAATGTCCTTGCTCATTGCAGAGGGGTTGTACTAAATGACCTCTAAAGGTCCCTTCCAACCCAAAGCATTCTGTGATTCTTGGATTAGCACCTTGTGTTTGTGTTATGCAATAGCAAGGCATGCAAGGCATTCTGCTGCAAAGGGTCAGGCAAGTGGACTCCCAGTATGATGTTTTCTTCATCACTTAAAAAGCAATCTCTGGTACTGTGTCCTCAGGGACCTTTACAAAATTAGATCGGACTTGAGCAAACTGGTTTCATTAGCTTCTATATGATCAAAAAGTGCCCCTATATCTTGAGGACTCAGTGTACCAACTCACCCTTGTGCCACCACACAAAAACTTGCTTTCACATCCGTCATGTATTATTTACTTGTAAGTGATCAGTGGTTGGATAAGCTTATGGACAATCACTGAAAGAGACTAAGCTTCCTATTCGATAACCAGAGTATTTTGAGATTGGTAGCAAGATGTGTAAAAATGCAATCTACCATTTCCCCTGCCTTCAAACTGACGGGATGGAAGGAAGTCCATTAGCTAGTCCTTTAGGGACACGATAGGTTCAGGTAGTGGATGTATTCAGCCCTTTTATGTCCTCTGTGTGGAGAGAGAGAACTGTCAGGACACATGCATGTAGCAGACACATGGCTGATCAAAATTCTCTGAGTTAAGGTATATGAAGTACATTTGAAAGAATGCCATGAGTAGGTGCCCAACAGTTGGGTGTGGAGTCCTTTTTGGAATGAAGTCTAAATAAATAACTGAGGTTAATCTGATTTTCATTAAAACTGTGAGTACCCCAAGCTACTATAAAGTCAGTGGAAGCCAAGCATGCCTCAACAACATGTCTTATGAAAATGAGGTTGAGTTCTGGTTAAAAGCTTAATGTTAAGAATTGCATTTGAAAATCTCTCAGCCCATGTGCAATCTATGATCATAGTGTGACTTTCATATTGAATCAATCAGATGGAAAATGCCCTATAGCCATGTGCATTTGAATGTCAAATTTAAGAATGAAATAACTGTAAAATATGTAAATAATGCACTTTAATTTTGTCCTGGTTTATTCAAAACCCTGATCTGAGTCCCATCCCAAGTAGGCAGCTTTTTACTGTGAGAAGACATGTGCTTTATTCTCTAATGCCTCTTTCTCCTCTTTTTAGTTATTTCAAAGGAGGAGCTAGACCAAGAAGATCCTTATCTGCATGATGGCTGTAGAGGTAAGTCAGGTGACTAGTCCTGTTAGCCAGCTCTTTTGTGATTCCTTCCAATAAAAGTGAAGCAAACTTAGATCTAGAGATTAGCCAAAACATTTTGCCTAGGCTAGTTATGGGTAAAAATAACAGAATGAAGATAGTTTCTAAGAAATGTAGGCCATTATGTGATGCCTCACTTGTTCTTAACTACAAGGGAGGCATTGTCTCCCATAATGGAGTTCATCTTACCCAACTGAAGCTTAGACTGTACATTTAACTTTTATTTAACTTCTAGTGAATACCTCAGAGGTGTTACCCGTTGAACCCATGGAGTATTCTGGATTCTTCAGAACACGGAGATCCAATATGAAATATGTGTGTTCTTTTATTCTTCTCTTGGGATGTTCAGGGTGATTGAATATGAAATCAAAATTGTTTCCTTTTGAGATGCATCACCTGAAAAAAAAAGGGAATAAAAGCAGCTATTGTTCTCATTAGTCAGGCTGTTCTGCCTCCTGGGAAGAATGTGTTGCTGGGATATTGTTCTGCTAAGTATTCTGATTTATTGCTTGTCACATGTGATTTACATGTCTATAAACTTAGAACAGCAGTGATTTATTATTTTCTACAAGTATTTCAGAACTAAGTAATGCATTTTGGATAAAATCAATTTAATAGACTTATATTTCGGTTGAGAGATGATTTACTGTGCTGCATGTTGTATAGCTATTACACTCTAGAGAGGATGGAAATGTCTACTAGGTCATTAGCTAGTTGAAGCCAACACTGGCTCTCCTCCTTTTCTCCAGCTGCTAATTACAAGAGATGACATAGAAAAATATGGTTTATATTTTCCTAGCATTATTTCTTTATGTAATCAGTTGTTGGATTTGTCAGTTAATGAGCTGCCTGCAAGAGATGGATGGTATTACTAATTACATATTAGATTTCTGTCTACAGTGTATTTTCTGAAAAACTGGGAATGCTAAAATTACTTGTGATTTTACAATCTTCACCAGGGGAAGCTTCAATTTTCTAGGCAGTGGAACTTCCAGCAGTTTTTTTTGGAGCACCTTCATGATACATGAGGACAATAATTCTGTTCTTCCAGCACCTCCACTGTAGGTTTTACTGTGGCTGACAGGGGCTCACAGTATTAGCAAAGGCTCATAAAGTGATAGCTTCTCAGCCACAAGACTATGGTTCCTTCTAATGTCATTGCCTTTGCCAGTACCACGTACAGATTGAATTTTCTGTAGTGTACTAATGGTCCTATCCTCATTAGAAATTGTTGCACTTAAAAAATTATTTTAATTCACTCAGAAGTTGAAAGTATTGTAGCTTATGGTATTATAATTTGCTCACTTTGATTGTGCTTATCTCAAACCTTTTGTTTAACAACTATCCAGCCATTCTGAAAACAGAAGAAGACAGGTTCTATTTGTGCTAAAATCAATACTCTTACAACAAATAGTTGGAAGTATATAACCTTTTCTCTATTGTAAGAATATTAAATATTTTTAATATTAACAGTAAAAGTAAGTTTTCTTAATGATGAGCCAAATTTTCTGTAAATTTCCTATAGTATCCTCTTTTTCTGTCTGACAGGATAACCCCAGCTCTCTTCTATATCCTTTGTTACTCCTGCACACACCTCACTAGGTCCTTAGTACTCCGGTAGTAAGTCTTGGTTCATTGAGGTCCTCTGAAGCCTTTGTCACTCACAGTACCCTCTTCTTCCTTTCATGTTTCCTGACTGCAGAGTAGGAAAAGACCACATGCTACAGCAAATTCAGGAGTATGGTCCTAATAATGTTGGGCTAGAAATAAAGCCTAATGCAGCTAATAGTGAAAATGTGTTGTTAACTTATGGTGATGCATCTCACCTTCCTTATTGTACAGTATTCACTATACAAAGTTCTGACTTCCCAGCCAAAACTTAAGGAGGTGTCTGAGCTCATCAGAATTTTCCCTTCAACTTGTAACAATGATGGGCTACGAGAGATTTCTTAATTTAATTCCTTCTTGTATTAATTTTTAGAGCTAAAAGAATCCAGTGATTGCAAACACTTCTTTCATTATTTAGCCCTTTCCTGCTTTTGTATATGTGTGTTTAGTTATCTGCTTTTCTAAATAAATCAGCAGGTATCCTATAAATCAGTGGTTTGTTTTAGTTCCTGTGAAGAGCCTCTTAATTATAACATTTCTTAAAATGTCCGATTAGGTGGTGGCCCCTGCTCTCAGCAGTGCAGAGACACAGGATCCAGTTATGTCTGCTCCTGCTTTGTTGGATATCAGCTTCAACCAGATGGTGTCAACTGTGAAGGTAAAAGAAAAAAACCCATTTGTTCAACTATCAGCAACCTTGTTTTAAAAGAGCAAGGATGGATTAAAAAAAGATCCAGACAGAAGAGATCAGAATATTCTTATGCTAGGTGGGGAAAGAGGTAAGATCATAAAAAGTTGGTATAAATTGAGTGTTGGAATGAGAGTTATGGGAGAATGGAGTTAAGAGACAATCAGTAAACAGATAAAGGATTTCAAGTGAAGAAGAAGCAGAAGAACTTGAATTTATTGTTGTGAATGAAATGAAAATAAAATACCTGTTCTCTTTATAGTAGTAGATAGTAATTGATAAGGCAGATGAAATAGAGTAGAATTCTTCAGCTTGTTGAGAACACAACTGACAGGATGAAAGTCTTGGATATCATGAGTGGCATGGGAATAGTAATGGGGGCAGAACTGTTAGGTTTCTCCCACAAGAAGAACTAAAGGGACATCAAATGAAACGGGCTGGGATAGAGTTTATCACACTTGGCTTCAGATATGTCAATGTGGACATTTGCTTCTGAGTTAGTCAGTCTAGGCTCCTCTTGTTGCTAACTGAGATAAGTAAGCACTACCAGGGCTCAGTTTATCATGCCTTTTTTATGTAGCTATTGTAGGATGAAGAGTGTTACTCATTAGGAGTACCTTTTTCTCTCATTGACTGAAAAGAGAGTCTAAGTAGGTAGCTCGGATACAAACTTCAGAATGTAAAATAGGTATTGATGATAGGTCAGATTAACACCAACCTATTGTGAAATATAAAAAGGAATCAATAGCTATAAAGTATAAAGTTGCTGCTTGTGGCTCAGGTTGTCCCAAAGCCATATGTTGATGGGAAGCAGAGCAAGGGAAGGATTTCTAAAAGCATGCCTCATTCATATAGTCCCTGTAATCATCTGCTACTGGACTCAGATTATGTTGGCCCTTTGTTCTCACTCAGTACAACTTCGTCCTCTTCAGTACAGTGAATCAGCAGTCATAAGTCCTGTTACCAGTAGGGTCAAAATCTCTTTACTGATGCACACTCTGAGAGCAGAGATGAGTAGCCACGTTGTGGATGTGGGAGTTTGGGGCAAATCCAAACCATTCTTTGTATCACGATGCTCAAAGTAATGACTGGTTGGAGGTGTCCCTACAGCTAGCCTTTGATCTCATCTTTTCCCAGTGATTTCATGTTTCTTATTTACTCTTTAAAAAAAAAATAAATTTTTACATTCTAGATATTAATGAGTGTATTACTGGGACACACAGCTGTGGGATTGGACAAACTTGTGTCAATACATTAGGATCCTTTCGCTGTCAGCGGGACACGAGCTGTGGAACTGGTTATGAACTAACAGATGACAGTCGTTGCAAAGGTACGTCCTGCGCAGAGAAATTGAAATCTTCCAGACTTAGGTTAAAAAATAAGAACATCATCATGTCATGCTCTTTTACTTTTGGTAAATACATGTGTACGCTGCAGTTGCTCAGGAAAGCCACAGACAGTGCTAGTTCTTCTGGGACAGTAGTTTTCCACCTGTCAGTTTGCAGATACCAGATCTGCTTGTCTGTGGACTAGTACAAAGACTTCCAGGAGAGATAACCTTACCTTATTCTACCTGGTTTTACTGAGATTGTTTGAAGTGGTAAGTCAGATTGATCCTAGGTCATTGCATTGAACTGCATGAAGGTACACTGAGAATTGATCTGTCTGACATTTTAAACTACATTTTATGTTTTAAATGTAATGAAAAAGCTTCTGTTGAATTCCTGCTAACATTTTTTGTTGTTTTTTTTTTTAATGTACCAGATATTGACGAATGTGAGACTGGTACTCATAACTGCCCTCCTGATTTTATCTGTCAGAATACTCCGGGATCTTTCCGTTGCAGACCCAAGCTACAGTGCATGAATGGGTTTATACAAGATGCGCTAGGCAACTGTATTGGTAAGACATATTCTTATCTCAGTGAGTATTTAAGTGTTGCCTATGAGATAAATTGTAGTTTCACTGAGTGAGCTCTGAGCTTCTCAGGTCATTCTTCATGCAAGTACTAGTTGCTCTGCTATGTTTTGGTTTTTTTTGCTCCTTTAAAGGCGGGCTTGGTCCCACAGGTAAGCTTTACGGAAGAAAACCATTTGAAGAAAAGACTTAAATACTAGATCTCTATTTTTAATGAGATTTGGTTACCTAAGGCACTTAGCTGCATTTGAACACTTTCCTTAGGTTTTTGGGGATTTTATCTGAAAGAAAGTTTGTACGAAGTTTGTGATACATCTTATCTTCCTCTATTCAAACAGTTTTAGCTAAAGCTTAGTATAAAAAGCTGTAATTTATGACATTCTCTGTTACACACTTTGTTAATACTGTTTTACAGGTATGTAGGTCTTTCCAGACCTGTCCCCTGTTAGTTATACCCTATCAAGAATCTTACTATGTATAAGAATGATGGGCCAGTTATAATACACTGTGGAAAGGAGTTTGATTTTAAAGACTGATTACGATCTGTTAGGCTAATGCCTTGTTTCCAAGACTCCTACAAAACAGAAATATCCTTTATATAAATATGTTAGAATTACTAGTTTCCAGCAGACTCTAAATGGAGTTGTCTAATGTGACCTACAAATCTGTCACTTATTCCCTTCAGTAGTATTTTCACGTCTCAACTTAACTTTGAATTCCCCCAGCGGCATAGCATGTCTTGGACTTGTGGAACTGGCTGAGCGGCAGCAGCTGCCAAGCCTAGCTCATTGTCAACCCCTCATTCTCCTGACCATAGCATACTCTGTAGTGCCGAAATCTGACACTAAAAACACTGAGACTGAAAACAAAATTGCAGCCTTTATAATGAAGGGGGCCAGTGCTTGTGCACAACAACCTCTTTGAAGACGTATATCTGCCATAGCTAGCACCAGGTCTACAGCAGTTAGTGCCTTAACTGACATTGGTAAAGCCACACCAATGTGCAGCGGCAATAGTTATGTCCCCTAAAGTGCATTTGTTCAAAATATTTAGCAAAAAAATTTCACAGGCTGGTTTTACACAGTGTGAATCAAATGCTGCTCTATGTGGTGTTGAGGAGAAAAATTACGAAAACATTCCTATCTTTTCAGTGTCTTTGTAAGTTGAAAATTTTACACTCTAGTGAGCTGGGATAGGCCTAGCTGAAGTGTTTCACATTAAAGTACATTTCCTTCCCCATATTCAGGCTGCCAACATTTTGCATGCTGAATGCTGTGCTTAATATCATACCAACAGGAAAGCAGTAGCTCTTAAACAGTTAACAATATCATTGTGTAAAATGATAATAGCCCAGTGAAACAGTTGAGGAAATTATAGGCAGAGAAGTACTCATATGAAGCTGGACTTTGCTGAAGGTTATGGGATGCAAGCCCCTACACTCACAAGCAGTGCTGCTTCTACAGACCTTCAGGTCTTAATTATATTAACATTTCCAGGTAGCAGGGATGCTTCAGTACCTCCTGTAGCCACTGATTCCAAACTCTGAAACTCTTTTTTTCCACCAGAGTAATAGCGCATGCTAACCTTGAGTGACACTGAGTTTCTTACCTTCTTGGCTAGATATAGTGCACCAAATCATACTCTAATATAGCTTACTCTTTCATCTGATTACATTTTCTGAGATTTTAATTTATCCAGGCAAAGGATATCTTTGTCACAAAGCGATGTCCAGTTTGTAAAAAAACAGACATATGGATGGTAGAGAGCTGCATAGTCTTGTGAATACGTAATTCACATTCTTATGTTTTTACATGGACAACTTACCATAAAACAAGGTAAGGTATTAATGCTGAATACTTGTGATCAGTAGTTTATTTATCTGTAAAAATGGAATCGAGTACTACTTCTGTGAGCACATACTACAAAGTAGCTTTCACTGAGAGCCACAACCCACAGACTACAGCATAACTGGTTGAGCTGGTGAACTGAATTGTTGATCATATATTAATATGTGATAGGGAATATTAATATGAAGGGGAGACTTTCAAGGGCTTTTGTATAAATGCAAATTCTATACCAAATTTCCTCTGCTTTTCAGTGGTATCTGGGCCTCTCATACCTCTCCTGATCTTCACCTGGAAACATTATGTTGATGAAACAATTGGGTTGGTGAAAAAGTAATTGTGTTTTTTCTGGGTAAATGAAAGGCGAATTTTTAATGTGAAACAAAAACTGTATTAAACCATATAGCGTCCATTTTGTTCAATTACCTTTTGCCATCTTTCAGCCAACTTCATGATTCCATACTCAAAACAATTCTTACATTCTTTGGCAAAAAAAACAGTTCCAAGAATGATTTTATATCCTCATCAGCAGTGAAGGTTTTACCATTCAAGGCATTTTGTAAAGAACAAAACAAATGGTGGTCTGATGGCGCCAGGTCTTGCGAATGTGGTGGCTGCAGTAACACATCTCATCCAAGCTGCAACAATTTTTGGCAAGTGACCAAACTTGTCTGTGGTCTAGTGTTACCATGGAGAAACACAGCATCTTTGTGATTCACCAGTTCTGGACACGTCTGCTTGATGGCATCATTTAATTTATCCAGCTGATGATGGTACACATTGGAATTAATGGTTTGGTTCCTTGGAAGCAATTTGAAGTATGCAATACCTTTGAAATCCTACCAGACTGACAGCATAACCTTCCTTTGGTGAATTTCTGCTTTTGAAGTGCTTTGAGCTGGTTCATCACGCTTGCTCCATGATCTTTTTTGTTTGTTGTTGTTGAAGACGAGCAATTTTTCATTGCATGTTATCATGTTTCAAAAATGGATTGTTTTCTTCACATTTCAAGAGAGAATCGCAGATGTCAACACACTTAGTGAGATGAATTTCTTTGAGCTCCTGTGGTACCCAATTATTGAGCTTCCTAATGTATCCAAGTTGTTTTTAAATGGTTTTCAATGCTCAATTTCGATATGTTAAGATTATCAGCAATCTCTTGTGTTGTTAAATACCAATTGGATTCAACCAATGCCTTTATTTTGTTGTTATCAACTTTGACTGGCTTTCCTGAGCATGGTGCATCTTTAACATCAAAACCTCTGGGCCAAAATTTAGCAAACCAATTCTGACACTGCCATAGTTTTAAGGCATCTTCACCATACACATCATAAAACTTTTTATGAGTTTGTGTAGCTTTTTTTTCATTTTCTGAAGTAATGCAGCAAAATATGATTAAAATGTTCCTTTTGATTTTTCTGGTTTGAAATCAATGCCAAATAACTAATTGTTAATGAAGTCATGCACTTTATTTTTCTAAAACAAGCTTAAACTGTCAGCTGTCAAGTTATATAATGAATTTGCAGTTTAAAATTAAGTTAGTTACATTTCAAGACATGTGCGTCCATCTATTAAAAAAAAATGCAATAAAATTTTGGCCAACCCAATAAATGGCACGAATAGTTGTATTCTCCCATGGGCAGAACTTTTAAAACTCTGAAGGATTACATAAGGAATGCATCTTACCTTAAACTTCTTCAGGTAGCAGATAGTTACACTGACTTCTTATGCTCTCGTAGATATCAACGAATGCCTGAGCACCAACATGCCATGCCCAGCTGGACAGGTGTGTATTAACACTGATGGCTCATATACCTGCCAGCGAATCTCGCCCAGCTGTGGCCGAGGCTATCATCTCAATGAGGATGGAACAAGATGTGTAGGCAAGTAACAGTTCGGAAGAAAACAAATTTCATCTATCATTTATGTTTGCCAGGTTCTTGCACTTTGCCCAAGTTTTTCTCATTCCCACAGTCAATTCTTGATTCTATGCTTTCCCTCATGGCAGTCCCAACAAGTGAAGAATGACAGGGAGTTGCTCTCTGTCCTTCATATAACTCTTGAAACCCTGTATTCTGAGCAAAGGAGAAATTATAATCACCTACCAAAAATGGCATTGTCTGTGACTATATTATTGTATTGGAACAATGCTGTGTGGTTTTAAATCTCCACAATACAGAGGATGACACAAGGCCAACTTAATGTCCCACAGAAGCCATACAAGTAATGTTGAAAGGCTTATATACCTTTGGCTGGCTTTTAACTAAGTTGGTGTTTTACATTTTTGTAAATGGCTTATCAAAGCACTACTGACTGTGGGTCTCTGGCATCTCACACTAGCTGAAGATCTGATCCATGAATATTTAGTGTGCATATTAAAACAATTTTGCACCTGATTTCCTCCAAAGATTGTCTGATTTCCTGATTTCTTTTCCCTCCCAAGTCCATCAGCATTAACAAGACACCTGAGAGTTAACATGTTTCAGTTAGAACTGTTTGGATTTGTGACTCTGATCTTCTTGTGGAAGCTGGAAGCTAGATCTAAATCTTTGTTTCAAAACACTTTATAACTACTAGAGGACACAGAAATATGTTAACATGTTGCTCTTCTCTCAACATGCATGCTCAGAAGTGCCCCCCTTTCAATCCTTTCTCTCTTTTTTTTAGATGTGGATGAGTGCTCATCCTCTAATCAGCCTTGTGGAGAAGGACATGTTTGTATAAATGCCCCAGGCAATTACCGTTGTGAGTGCAAATCTGGCTATTCTTTTGATGTCATCAGTAGAACTTGTATTGGTAAGTTATATCTATCGACTTAAATCCATGCAGCCATGCCATTTTAAAAAAATGATCCTGTGTAAAGAATGTTATTGCTCTCTGTGTAACCTCTTTCATCTGAATGTAAAATGTACTATATTCTTTGTATAAATCTAATACCATATTAAAGAGATGCTGATACTTCAAAGGAAGCTGTATTAGTACTGTCAACATATTATCTGTTACCCTGTTAAAAGGTAAGATTATGAAAGTGCGTGTAATTTTTTTCTGTGATACTTTTATATGCACCTACAGCAAAACATTCCTTTGGAAGATCAAAGCAACTTTCTTCTTTATAGATCTAATTCAATTATGCACTGGGGTGCTTCTAAATGAGCATTCTGAGTAAGTCCTTCCCTCTCTGGTATGAAATTTAGATATGCAAACAAAAATAAAACTTTTATGGTCACATTCTTGTCCAGACTACTACTGCAGCGAAGCCAGCCAATACATAGACCTCTGTATAAATTTATCATTGCAGATATCAATGAATGCAGACGCTATCCAGGTCGTCTTTGTGCTCACAAGTGTGAGAATACTCCTGGTTCCTATTATTGCACTTGTACCATGGGATTCAAACTTTCAACTGATGGCAGGTCATGTGAAGGTATGGCTGTCATATTCTTTGGCATATAGTACGAAATACAGCTTGTTGCTGTTTAGCTATTTCCATTTGATTTTAGCTTGTAAGACTACACTGGAATGACATGAGAAATCAACACAGTTACGATTAATCAAGCCCACAGTTCCAATATATTGCCCTTTGGCTGGATCATGCAGACGTGTATGGGTGTCGTGGTTTAGTGCTGGGCCGGCCACTAAATCCTAGACAGATGCTCTCTATTAACCCCTCTCCTCTCCCCAGAAGGGAAGAGAAAAGAGAATAAGGGAGAGAGACTTTATGGGTTGGAAAATAAACTAACAGATTTAATGAAACACTAATACTACAGATAATATTGTAAATAGGAAAATAATGAAATAGATATATAAATATGTATAAATATATACAAAACCAGCATAAAATCCTCCTCCCCACCCTCCCCCCAATGACGAATATGTCACCAGAGGCTCTGCAGAGCCGGGCACTGGAAAAGTCCCAGACCAAACTCAGCAGCAGGTGGGAGCAGGATGCAGGACACACAAATCAGGATCAGCAGCAGACGAACGAGCAGGATTCTGCTCAGGCCTTGGCCTCTGCAGGATCCAGACGGATGAAAGGGTCGAGATGGAAGGAACGGTGAAAAAGGAAAAAGGGGCGAGACCCTCGTCATCCCTCGGCTTTATACCCAGTATGACATATGTGGGATGGAATACCTAGCTGGTCAGTTTGGGGTATGCTTTCCGCCCATAGGCGCAGACACAGCACCCATGATGAGACAACTGACCTTGAGCATATCTTCTAGCAGCGCTGTTTGGGAAAAACATGCTGCCAGTTTTCAACAAGTTCAGTCACTTAAAAGAGACTGAGCTGAAAAGTAAAATCACTAAATAGAAAATTAGTTCTATTTAGCTCAAACCAGGACAATAAGTCTGCATTTACTGTATTTTGAAGGGTGATTCAGCTACATCAGATTCAAGACCTTCAAAACCAGCCTTGCTGATATCCAGATATAAAAATGCAAGTGTAGTCCTGAAGTCCCTGTCCAAGTCACACACAGTGCAGATTAACCTATACTGCCAGACCCTGTTGAGAGTAGTACACCCAAAGCCCCTTATTTCCAGCTTACTTGGTGACATGCATATCATCCTTTTTTCATTTAAAAAATTGTTTTCCAAAGTTTCGCTTTAGCCCTGTAATAGGAGTGATGAATATAGCAAGGAATTCGGGGTTCAGGTATATAATTTTGCATTTCAGATTTAAATGAGTGTGAGAGCAGCCCTTGTAGTCAAGAGTGTGCCAATGTGTATGGCTCCTATCAGTGTTACTGCCGCCGTGGCTTTCAACTTAGTGACATAGATGGGATTTCATGTGAAGGTAAGCAATATTGTTTTGCAGGTAAAGGATGAGTGAGTATTTCTTATTCTCACTGTAATTTCTGTGAACAGTTCCATGTACTTGTAATTGTTTCATTTTAACATTTGAGTCTCTTTGGTATTTTCCTGTGAAATTATGAAACTTATGAAACTTTATTTAATGAAGGTCTTCCACCCATGTCCTAGTCTAGAAATATCTCTGCTTGTGTAATGTCAGTTTGCACTGAGTTGTATCTTGGTATACTTTTGTAACTTGACAGAAGTTTGTTTTGTTTTGTTTTTCCTGTGATACTAACAGAATTTAAGTCTTCAGCAAGTGAAGATACAAATACATTTATATGTTACATATATAATATGTAATCTTACTAGGTAGTATTTCATATATCCTCTTTTTGTGGCTGGTTCTGAACTAATGTGTAAGTAGGTTTTCCTCAAATAAAAGAAAGATGTGGGTGTGACCTTTCGGACAAGATCCTGAATTTGGACTTACGTCTCCAGGACTTACTAGACAGTAGGACCTTGAGCAGAACACCTCAGCTCTATTTTGTTTTTGTAAGAACAGGGATAAAACTATTCCTCTCCCTCCCTTTTGTAAAGTACTGTAAAGTGCTTGTCTTATCCATGCCTCCATTTATTCCTGCCAGCCTTTATTGACTAGAGCCACCCCTGTTTAATATTTTTCCTTGCCCAACAATGAGAGTCATGAAATTGTGTTTGAAACTTGCAGCAGAAACACCATACATATGCACTTGGTTGAATGTCATGAACACATAGCAAATCAGTGGTGTTTTCTTCTTGCAGATATTGATGAATGTGCTTTACCTACTGGAGGACATATCTGTTCCTTTCGATGTATTAATATTCCTGGAAGCTTTCAATGTACTTGTCCCTCCACTGGTTACAGGTTGGCACCCAATGCACGCAACTGCCAAGGTAAGTTGAGGGGTTGGACTAGATGATCTTTCAAGGTCCCTTCCAACTCCTAATGTTCTGTGATTCTGTGCAAGTTAAATAACTCTAGGGAGACTCAAGTGGATTGTGAACTTCTGAAAAGTTCTAGCAAGTTTTTGTGTTTAAAAAAATGCCTTTCCTACAACATTATAGCTAAAGCAGTAAACATCAGCTTGAAATCTGAAGAAACCAGTATTTTATAATAAATACACAAGAATTTAACTTATAAATTATAGAATGCAGTAGAGAATACTTTTTATAGCATTATTAAATAATTATAACAAATTCTGAAGATGAACATTCCCACTGTGAAATAATATAGGTTAGTTTAGCCATTAAAAGGAAGTATTATGCTGTAAGCATTTCAGCAAATATTTAGGTCTTGTCCACTTAGTGGCACTGCTGCTCTTCCTTTTTCTGTTCTTGCCTGTTTCTGTTATTTTTCTTCTTTATTGTTCTCCTGCCCTCTCCTTCCAATCCTGTAATAACGTTTAATTGCACCCCATGTTCTGTAGTACCTCATATGATACTTTCATCATCTGGCACCTGCAAGTAGAGGAAAGGCATGTGTTTAATCCACTCACCTTTTTCCATTTGGCAGATATTGATGAGTGCGTTGCAGAAAGCCACAACTGCTCTTTCAATGAAACCTGCTTTAACATCCAGGGGGGCTTTCGCTGTCTGTCTTTGGAATGTCCAGAAAATTATCGCAAGTCGGGAGATACGTAAGTACTTTCTTTTTCAAAGTTGAACAGTTTTTTGGTGTCATGACCTCCTTTATGTCATGCCACTGCTGACTGAATACATAAGAGATTCTGGCAAATACATACTTTTTTGGTAGGCATAGCCTAGGTTTTCCACACACAGGTCTGGTCCCTTTCTCATGCTCCTGTTTCAGTCTAAGAAAAAGTATTCCCTTAGAAAATGCCATAAGTCAGTAGTTTACATCATAATGAGCCATAAGATGATGTTCTCTTTCTGGGTACCCTGCAGGCAACCTGTTAGGATGGTTACATTCAGCTTCAAAATGCTGACTTTCATTTCCTTTCACACGTAGTCCTTCCTTACTATTACACTGCAATGAAAGAGCTATTTTTAGCTCACTCTGAATTCTTACCAGTGCTGTTGCAAAGCATTACAAGAATGTCATATTTTTAGTACCATTTCAGTTCTGTTAAAAAAGCTGGGAATCCTAGCAAGGGTGGTATGTTAGCTGCTGCTCATATTTGTGTGTCTTAACCTAGCTCAGAGAAAGTGAATGCGTTCTGGTGTTGAAAATACGAGACAGCTTTGGGAGGAGAGACAGCTGACAGCTCATTTATACCCATCAAATGGTGCTAGCAGAGTGGAGAAGCTATTGCAAAATTTCAGTTGCATAGCTAGAGTTTATGGCTGATGGAGATGACTGCTTTTCCTCCCGCCCTGTGGCTTTATGGCCATCCTATACTTCATCAGTTCTTCCAAAGGCTGCTCTATGGTCCCCTCTATGTACCCCATACCAGTGTAAGTGGGTAGCTAGGGAAGAAAGCTGATAAATCGCTCTTGCCATCAGTCTGCTATTGCTTTTCACAGTTTGTGTTCATATGCCCACCATCTTTTAGATAAAATTGAGAACTCTGTGCCTCCTCTGTAGAATGAAGCTAATGCTGATCTTCATTAGACGGACTCTGTGGGAGTTAGTTAGTTTCCATTTAAAATTCAATCTGTGAAATGCCATATAAGTGACACAGCAGGTGTATTTATTGTATTATCAGGATGCTGTAGAGGGAGTTCATGGCATAAAGCTAGATATTTATAAAACATACTTGTATTCTGAGAAGTGTCAACAGTAATTAAACTTAAAATTAAATTTTTCAGATCAATAAACAAGCAGTGCCTCATGATGCAGATTTTATCGTTAGTTGTATTATTGTGGGTTAATTTGTATCCTAATTCAAAAAGTGTAATTTGAAATGGGCCACTAAGCAGAATTAGCAGATTTCTACTCTTATGGACATCTCTGAGTTGCAAAGTTCAGTTTATAAAATAGGCATCATACACACACATTCCATTTAATCATTTAATCATCTTCCTTACATATATTTTATGAATGTGTTGAAGTTAATGGCTATTTGAGAGGTAAGGGATCTTTTGGGGAAGTAGTACAGTGTCTGAATTGTTTTTATCTGTCTGGTTTTTTGGGGTCCTATAATGGCCTACTCTGCCCAACTCAAACAGACTCACAGGGAAAGATTCTTCTGATGTGCTAGGGCTATAATTAGGCTATGAGTCAGACACAAATTCTGAAGCTGCTCAGTGAAGTTCTAATTATTTTAATTCCTTGAGTTATTATCTTGTTGGATTTATTAGGTTTTCTCCTCTCAACAGCTACAGACACAGTTACTAAATTTATTGTCGAAAATGTGTTTGTATAAACCAAAGAGAAAATGAGACCATTATGTTTATTGCAAGAAGTCCAAGTTAGTTCAATGAGGAGATAGGTACTCTTGTACTTAGCCAGTGTATGAGTATTCTGCCAACATGCCAGAATCAGGGTTACCTTGTGCCCATTGGGGAACAGTTCCATAAAACAGCTCTTTAGCACTCTTTTTACATCCAAACTGATTTACATATTCTTGAATCATTTATTTTTGGCATATATAGCCCAACATAGCTGATAGCCAGCATATCTTCATTAGCTTTTGCGTGATAATGACACTAAATTACTTTTTCACCCAACCTTGTGCCAGGACTCTAAAATCAAAATTGTTGTCTTCTCGTAACGTCTTATCTGTTGCAGATACCATTTTCCTCTCCTTTTTGTCCAAAACACATTCCAGTTTCACCAACTTGGCACATCATAAGAAATAGAAAACATTTTTCCATTCCCTTCAAGTTGGCACCTCATGAGATTTTTTTACCCTATTCTCCAGTATTTTCTTTGGAACAGCTATAATTTGATAGGCCTCTGTCATACAAATCAAAGTTGGTTCATTCTTATTTATCCTTAAAATCCTTATGTACATGCAACAGGCCTCAGTGATCCAGAAGCTTCCTTATCCAGTACCTTTAAAACAGAGATTTTTGCATGGTGGCTTTTGCAGTGGTGATTGTCATCAGGTGAAGTAATTGCAGGATCATCTCGTGCTACAGGCTGAAAGCTCAGGGTTCTTTATAGATACTCTGAGCTTTAGGAGCAAACAGCCTGTATAATCTTCCCCAAAGACCAGCAAAGTGCCTGGCATGGCCGAATCCCTAATGGTAACAATTTCATTGAAGATCTTATCTCTTTTGCTTAAATTATCCTTTTTTTTTTTTCCTTGATCAGCCTATAGGCTTGGTATTTTTTCAAGGATAATTAAGATCTACTGCTACTCACAGTAGGACTTAACTCTCTGTACTGCTTTGCCAAACACTTTTTGTTTCCAAATTGCATAACAATTAAATTCCCTTTATGTGACACTGAAGTCAAACATTTGTAATATTTAAGCCAAGAAAAACAGTAGAAAATATAAAGAAGCAGTTATTGCAGTATATCAGAAATGTGTGCTGCATTGAGCCAGATTGGGAAATATTTTTATATTCTAGACATGTCTACATATTACTAAGGTTGCCTGTTGCTTCTCATTATTAGGACTTGGTTTTAACTGCTTAGAATTTTGCCAAAATGTAACCAATGGCTGAAATTTTACATACCAGGTGTCTGACTCAGGCTCAAGTTTTGGCAAATTTTAGCCAAAGTAGTTCACTCATTTCTAAGAACAAGGGTAGAGAGGAACACGGTTTTATGTGTTTAAGACATTTTGATGATTCTTTTTTTCTTTTAACAGTTTGCTGTCATGCTTTGAAGTAGAAATCTGAAGTTTGTTAGATGACATTTGTGCTTTTTGTCATCCTTACCAAAAACCTCTGAAACTTGTGAAATTACAAACTTTGCAAAATCGCATTTAGCCTTCTTTCACAAACCTTAGGAAATTAGGATTTTGAGTGATCTTAATCTACCCCTGTATGCCAAAGCAGAATCATGTCTACCTAGAGAGTTTCTGAGTGTTGTTTAACTTTTGATTCTAGTCCTTGAATGGTAAGGATTTAATAGGACAGTGGCAATCTGTCTGTGTTTCACTATCTTCCTTGGTGCAATTTAATTCTTCCTATCAGTAGAGAGGTCTGTCTTTTTTTAGCAGCAAACAATTATCTTCTGATTTAGCAGACCTGAGCTTCTTGCAGCTCTTTAAAGCAGTCTAAACTGTGCAGGTACTGACTCCACAGACTGTTTGAGCTTGCTCCCACAAATGGCCACAGGAAAGAAGCCTGATCTTCCCTATAATGTCAGCTCCTATCTGTCCTGGCCCATGTGCTGCTGGTCCCAACAACCCCAGAGCCTGTTTCTTCTGTGCTTTTAAAGACCACACAGTCATTGTGGATAAGAAAGCATGGGTGAGATGGCTTGGTAAGAAGGAAAGGCGTACTTTAGGGATAAGGAGACTGAATGTAGGGAAGGAAGGATCTGAAGGTATGACCCGGTAGGAGAATGAGTCTTAGAGTCGCTTGAGGAGTAGAATGTAAAACTGGGACAAGGGGGAAAACAACTACAGGAGTCAGGAGCTTGTGGTTAAAGGTTTCATTCCCTTTAAGTTCCGGTCTGTTTAAGACAAAAATCACCTTCCCCAAACAGTGTTCACAGTAGTTTAGAGATCCACAATGGGGCAAAACAGCCCAGCTGATGGCTCATCTGGGCCTCAAGGTTTTCTGCAACCTGCTGAAAATAAATGCCCACTGATGACAGCATGAGCGAGTGCCTTGTAGTGGAGTATATTCTAGGAGGTCCAGAACATAGTTACAGCTCTGGAAGTCTACAGGGTCAAATTGCGGAGATGTCTAGTATATCATTTAGTAGTAATACTTGGTTAGTTGTTCAGCATGTTGAGATGGTTTCCCTGTATGAAATAAATGACAAAGCCATATGTCCTGCTAAAAAGTTCTTTTCCCTTCAGCATATGAGGATTTGTTGTATACCACTCAACTCCTTTGGGCACAATGCAATAAATTACCTCTGTGCCATGTGAAAACCAGGCTCAGAAATTAAGAGGAGGGAGGGCAGAAAATATTTTTTACTCATTTCTCCAGTAGGAAATATAGTATTCATTATCTAAAATGGTATATCTCTTAGTAGTTTTCTTTTCCTTATAAGTAATCAGTGTTTGGTACATGAAATTCAAACTATGAGTAATTCTTTGAAACCAGTATTTCAGCCAAATAAATGAACCTAAGAGAATGGAGTCATGAGCTAAAATAATCAGGAAAAAATTCAGGAATAAGCATTTAGCCAGCACTATATGCTTGTTTTTCTAGTCCATGTGCCTAATTGCAGAGGTTTGCCAAGATGTATGTAAAACTTCCTCACTGCAAAGCAGTGCGTGTTTTACCTGGGCTCTGGGTCGGGTTTCTCTGGTAGCATCATGCTGCCTCCTCAGCACTCCCCCTGCTCTCTCCCACAGCGACACGGCGTGGTGGCAGGGTGCGGTAGCTGTGCAGCCTGCTCATCTGTCCTGAGATGCCATGGAGCTAGAGCAGCACCCGGGGTCTCGGGCTGCTCACTCATTAGCAGTAGTTTGTTGGATTCCCTCGCCATATGATTTTCTTCTGCCCACTGAAGGGAAGCCTTTAAACAAGGTCTGGAAAGTACACTGGGATTTAAATGTTCATTGCTTATTGCCTTTGTGGTGTGTGACTCCAGAATGAACTCTGATTCTTGAAAGCAATAATATTTGCTATCTCTCCTTTGTGGTTATTTGATGGAACAATTAGTGCACATTAACTAAACCTATAGTGAAGTGTGCAGTGTGTAGCATGCACCACCAAGGAATAAGATAAAAGATAAAAAATTTTGAATAATTATAGCTCCTAGCCGCAGGCACATCTGTCTCCACAAATAACTTTCTGAATCAGCAGAATGCCCTTTTTCAAATCTTAGGAAGCTGGCAGCTTTGTTTTTTGTTCTCTTAAAATTCTGGCTGTTATTATAAAAAGCATTTTACTTTTCTAAAAGAGTAAATCACAGCATTTTTACGAGCATTTAAGTGCTTCTCGAAAAAGAAAACCTATCCAACTAAGAAATCAACTGCCTTGACTTGCTTAATGATTTTAGCAAAACCAGGTAGCCTCATGATTTCAATAAAACCAAGTAATTCTTTTTAGTGGAGTTATTGATGACATTTCAGAAAAGAATGCAGAACTCACTATACCTGAAAATAATCCAAGAGTATCCACACCTAATTAGGCGGCCATCCTGTGAAGACTTGTGTATGCTCTTTACACACATGAATAAAATTAAGAATGCATTTAAGTCTTCAAAGAATTGCTTTGTACTTTGGTTTGCAAGTGGTATTAAAAGAAAACATAGAACACATTAACTGAAGAACTGAGGGTGCTTTTAACTATTCTTTTTGAAAATCTTTATTTTGCATATAATGAGAAGTTCCTGGAATTCAGGTCACCATGCACTGGCAACAAAGTGGTGCTTGCTTATGAGCCACATTGACACCAGATACTCCTTATAGAAGCTCAATTTTAGATGTAAAAATAAAACAAATCAAATGGGTACTCAAATTTCCTTGAGGCAGTAAGATGCAAACCATGCTTTCATGCTGGAGCAGTTCTTAGTAAAGAAACAAATGAATAGCTTAGGTTCTAAAACCTCAGCCTGTGGACTGACTATTGCTGTTGAGTGGAGATACTCTTGTACATAACTTAATTGATTTATAGTTGTGCACGAAGCAGGTTTGGAGCTAAATGCACAACCTGATCATCCCCAAACTTTGCAAAGTCAACATCCAGCTGGGATCATCATGTCTACCTCTGCTTCCATGTACCTGTCTGATGGGATGTTCAGATACCAACTTGAATGTGGTGATTTGGGCATATCTTTAATCTGAAATTCATATAATCTTTCCTTGCATGCAGTTCTCTAAAGACTTCTCAGACCCACAAGGTAGCATGACGTGTCAGATCTTCATTAATATGCTGGAAAACTACACCATTCTTTAATAGCAGTTACTTTATTGCCCCTACCTGTCTGTGCTGTATTTTACAGGACAAACTTCTCTGATTAACAGAAAGAGAGGAGATTGCTCCCTCTGTGTAGCTCTTGTTTTCCAGTGCTGATGTTCATTGCTCACTTTCAGCCTGCATGTGTGATGTCTTTCAAGTTCTCTGGATTTGTTGCTGTAATACAGGACCTAGTGATAAGGAAAGATAACAGCAGTGGGCAAATTTCTTGCTCATCGGCATCATTCCCGTGAATCAAGGCTGCATAAGAGTGGACTCAATGTTTAGGGCACGTGCTGGAATTGTCAGACCATTTTCAGTGCTTGCCTAGGTGTGGGTTAGATTGACTCAGGTTAGCTTTTTAGGTAGCACAGAGAAATACTGTGCCATATCAGGAGGAAAAAGGCTCGTCTTCAAAGCAAATGAACCTTAACATACAGGCAGTGTTGGAAATAAGTTTTACATTCTTCTGTGTGCTGTCAGATGATGAACATACATAGTGCAGTATCTAGAGTGCCTCTTCTGTCTCAGAAAGACCAACTCTATACATTTGTGGTTTTCAGAATACTTTGTTCAGTCTTAAAATCCAGGCAGACATCCTAAGTGGGACAAGGTCAACTCACTAACCACTTAGGATCTTTTACTTTATTTTAAAAATGTCCAATCAACAAAAGAACAGAACTTGGGGGAGTGAGGGGGGGAAAGCCAGCATTCTCCCTAGGAAGGTCTTAGCTGATCTAAATGCAAATAAACTCTCACCCACACTGAGGTGCCAGACTCAATCCAACTGTGCGTGCAAAGAAAGGGCAACACTTCTGAAAGTCACAATGCGTCTCCAAAAGCACCAACTACAGACAAGTTCATCCTTATTTAGTAAATGTCCATTTGCAATGTGACTGGGGTGCCAGGCTGAAGAATGGATACAGTATGCAAGTCAACGTATCTTTTCCCATCCCCACTGCCCTTGCTTTCCTATCACGCTTGCTAAATGTACGCTAATCTTCCTCTTGTCTTGTGTTCTCACTTTTCTTGCAGTCGCTGTGAGCGCTTGCCTTGTAATGAAAATAAGGAGTGCCAGAGCCTGCCTCTGAGAATAACCTACTATCACCTCTCTTTTCCTACCAACATTCAAGTACCCACCGACATTTTCCGCATGGGCCCTTCCAATGCTGTCCCTGGGGATAAAATTCTGCTGTCCATCATCAGCGGGAACGAGGAGGGTTTTTTCACCACAAAAAAAGTGAACAACCACAGTGGCATTGTGGTCATGCAGCGGCAAATCGCAGAGCCCAGAGACCTTCTTCTGACAATGCAAATGCAACTTTCCCGCCATGGAACTGTCAACACATTTATTGCCAAACTTTTTATCTTTGTCTCTGCACAGCTTTGATCCCTAACTTACAGACATCATTGGCTACTTTATCTCTTCTAAAGTAGTTTTTTTTTTCCCCAATTTTAATAAAGTTTTAGCTCATCTGTTGCATGCTGCACTTGCATTTTATTTGCCATCATCATTCCAGTTCTTCATTTTCCCCTATCACTGAATGTCTCAATTTGGGGAGATTCTTATATGTATTTTGTGGTGTTATAAAAAGCAGAAATTGGTGTCCGAGAGCTTATTTTCTGAATATACCAAGGACTGTGAACTATTGATTTACTTCACATAGTAAAGTTGGAGTTGGTCTCATTGGATGATGCACAGCTGCATATTTTTAGGTGTAAATTTTCAAAACACAATAGGTACATAATTTGAGCTGTCTCAACTGAGAAATCTTTAGAGAGTTTCATCATTTAGGAGGCAAACACTGTGCATTTTCTGAAAATCTATTAAAAGGGCATAACTTAGGCCCTTAGGATCTCAGAGGTGCCCCAGCATGCAAGTTGCTTTGAAAGTGTGGAGCTAGGTTCTCAAACTACACTAGTTATCATTACTCTGTTGTAGCCAGTGTGCTTTTGCTGATTTCCACCAGCTTTAGATCCCAGTTCTAACTTTTAAATGTTACAAAACAGAATGTCCCCTAAATTACATTTATTTTAGAGATTTTTCGTCTTCCTTTCTGTGGAATTTCCACTGAATTGAAAAACTAATGATGGGAAAATGACAGTGAACTTGCTAACAGCATTCAGCTCCTTTCTGTTTCACAGGCTATATCCTGAGATGTGTCTACAGGAGTATTTGAAAAAGATACTTAATTGGTCTCATAACATTTTTGTCTCTCCAACTTCCATATCAAAATTGATAAAATTTTAACTGTAAAGACTTTACCGACCACCATCACCAAAAGAACTTCAATTAAACCCTAGCAGCCCTGAAAGGTCAGCTAGAGTTCCACTATCCAAATCTTTCTTCCTTTACTTCTATGACTTTCTTCCTTTACTTCTATGCAATCAAGAACAATGTAGACAATACAGCTGGAATTTCTTTGGAATTCTTTTGTTTTGTGAGCTAGAAAAGGATCTATTTTACTCTTCAGTCCTTGTATTGATAAATATTAAAAGCTCAGTCCCAGAGGTATGATCTGAAAGCTAACGTTCTGTGACACCATCTCGGGCTCAGATATCTCTGCTGTCCAGTACATAGGCAGAATAGTCAGTCCATAGGTGAATGAGGAATAATCCATGTGAATGCACAGTGCTTCAGTGTGTCAATATAGACAACACAGGCAAGGTATGAGGTTAGAAACTGGGAACATTGTAAACCAAGATCACAAGCCTTAATCACCTGAACACAAGGAATTACTCTATTAGCTGTAAGCTGCAGGCTCTCAGGCTCATCATCAGCCAAGGACTAGATTGGGGCATGATCGCAGCACTCTGCCAGAGTATTACATGTTCCCTAAGGCAAAGTTTATCCCAGCTGTCTGACAGGAGTTCAAGTCTCATAAGGAATGCCAATGTTTAATAAGTCTGTTGACACATACTTATAAAGCTGCCAGAAGTTGCCAGTGGGGATAGAGTCCCAGCTTTAAATACTGAAAGCACAAGCCCACGCTACTTGAGCTAATGGGGTTTCTTATTGCCACAGAAGATGCTTGCATATAAATGCCCTCTGGCTACCAGTTCATTATGAGGCCATAATTAAGTAGGATAAAGATTCAAAAATAAACTTCATTTTTGCAAGCATTAATATATATTTGTTTGGCAGGAAAAGAAGGGATTGTGAGAGTTTGGCCCTCAATACTGTAAAATGCTACCTTAATTATTGCATTCAGCAAGTAGTTCAAGAACATGGACCTCAGATTCTTCTGTATTAGATGCTTTAATGCTGCAGCATAGCTGGAACTTCCAAGAACATGTGTGTAATTATGTAGCGCCATTTATGTGCGTGGTTCTTTCCAAATGAAAAGGAAATAATGGCTTCTGGTCCAAAGAGCTTACTAACTGAATCTCACAGAGTATACGAAAAGGAATGACATCAGGACCCAAGGAGAAAGCAAAGGTTATCTTCAGGAAAGGATTACTTGCAGAATAAACGAAGCAACTGAGCTGTGTCTTAACTTTTTTCTCTTTTAAATTTAAAAGTCCTGGAAGAAATACCAGCTCCAAAGCTGCAATTTTTGTTAGGCAGGGAAAACCTTGAAGGAAAAATTTGGTTCTCAGCACTCAGGAAGAAACTTTTGTCAGTCATAGTCCCCACTACAGGGAGACATGAGCAAAAAGGAAAACGTCAAGCTAATCAGAAGATCAAATGCAAAGATGATGTGTAAGAATAAAATAAAAATTATTTTGAGATCAGAGCACATCATAAGTAGCAAATATCAGGATTTTAAATAGATGATTGTTGTCAAAGCAATTGCTCCAGAAGATGTCTAAAGATGTGCCATTGAAGCAATGAGAGAATAAAGTGTTGCACTTTGGATATGCTGAAGCAATTAGAAGGGATATCAAAAGAAAGGAGATCAGAGAATGAATGTTTAGGCAGTGGAAAATGAAAGCACAAACTGAAGTTTTCAGTGTGGACAGAGTATGCAAAAAATAAAAGGGTGTGGGATTTGTAAGAGAAGAGAGAAACTGTGCAAAGAAATAGAGCTGACATGTTTATCTGTCACATGTATGAGTACAAGCTGGATGGATCGAGAAACAAGTGTTAGTTAGGAACTAACACAAATCACTTGTAATCATTTTGGTCCTCCATTTCTGTATAGAGAGCACCTAATTCATGTCAGAATGCTTTACTCCAGTGAATCAGAAGTGAGAATTACGAATGTAGGTCTTACTTTGGATTTAATCTTAAATGAATTCTTGGCTTTGTTGGATGAAAATTTCAGAAATGTTTATATTTGCCACATGTTGTTCCAGCTGAAGTCAAGAGGAAAGCTCCCTTCTCTTCCCAGGAAGGAGCAAAGGCAGACCAGTACTGAACAATTCAGACACTCCCACCACAATATTTTTGCATACTTATGTTATTATCTAAATACAGCTATGAAAGTTTAGGATACTGTATGTATTGTACCAGCACTTCATTAGTAATAATGTTCCAAAATTAGTTATGCAAGCTACAGCTTATTGGTGTCCCTAAAACCGTCAGATGATGCTATAGTTACTACTTATGTGTTATACAACACAAAGAGAAAATCTGTTAAGAACTTTTTCAGAATTTTTAAACACGTTATTGGAAGTAAAACCAGTCTGACTTGGCTGTCATGAACCCAGCTCAGTAGGATCCTGAGGAAAGATGCAGTGGTTGCTTGTATGGCTGTATAGATGTAAATGTCTCCTAAACTCCCCTATGCACAGTAAGGAAAAAAACAAGAGGGAGAGAGAGAAGCAGACATGAATGATGTACATATTGCGGCAATTCTATGTGTTCTGTATTTCGAAATAGACTATTTTACGCTGGAACCAGACTATGTAATTTAGCTGATCCTTCTTTCACAGATGTGAGGGTCAGCTACCTGGAAGTCCTTTCTTAATTTGGCAGCTGAGGTTTACAATAAGGGGATGGAATCTGTTAGTATAGATCAGACTATTATGGCTGTGTATCCAGAATTAATTTGTTGTAAAATGATAAGCATGAGATGTTTCAGCAGAAATCCCTACTGTGTTCCCTGTGAGGTGTCTAGGAAACATTTTGGACCCAGATAACAGTGGGAAGTAAAAATTCTCTCCTGGCCTGTATCTCCTGGCCAGTCTGAAAACATCAACTGCAGAATGAGAATAATGAGCCAGACTCAGCTGGTGTAAATTAACGCAGCTTCATTGCCTTCCTGTGGACTATGCCGGTTCACATCTGTTGAAGCATGATTTCCTTCATGTTGATTCATGTTTTCATTTTTATCTTTATTTCAGTTTCATATAAGATCAGCATGTTTGGCTTTGTTTTCTTTGATGAGCAAATGTGGGTAGTGTATAATAAAAAGTTACTGATGTATTTATTATTAATAGACCCATAAAGTCCCTTTGAACATCTGAAAAAAGATGGCTTGTAGGTGTAGACTTGAGTAAAACATTTTGACAAGAGCAAGAACCATTTTTTTCTAGAGGTATCTGACACATTAAAGTTTCCATTTTTCTGTCCCTTTTATTCAGTGAATTTTTCTTCCTTTTAATCTTTTAATTCTGTGCCCCCCCAGCCCCTCCGCCCCGACACTGCAGTCTTTTCTTTTTTTTCCACTTAGAAATATGAAGAAATGGGCAGGTCAAAGTTGAGATCATTTGTGGGGCTTAGTCACATTGTAAGTCCCAGCAGAGCCCTTTCATCTCTCATGAACACAGAGCGAGTATTGTGTGAAGTTCTTGAACTGTAAGTGACTTCAAATTCACTCTAGTAGACAAGGGTGAGAAGAAGTCATTTAACTTTTAACTGACTTTCAAGGACGAATGAGCAGCTGGTTGAGATGGAATATAAAATGACCCTTACCATTTCCCCAAACTCAGAATTCAATCTTTGAGGTTTTAAATAATGTGGTTAACTTTCTTCCTCCCCCAGTTTCCATCCCTCTCTGTTTTCTCAGTTTAGATGGAAAGGGGCGTGTATGAAAAAAAAGACTTGAGAGGCTTTTCTGGCTCTTGCTGCACTGAAAATCATGAAAGAAAGGTGGCCCTTCAGATACTTCCTGCCAGATTTCCAGAATGGAAGCAATTGTTTCTGCTTTATATGACTGATGCCACATGAAGTACAAAAAGGGTTGTGCAAATAAGTGTAGCTCCACTGAAATTGGTGAGACCACACCAGTGCGCTGCAGCTGAGGATCTGGGCCTAGTCTTTTGGTCCTGTTTATCCTTGGAAAACAATTTTACATGGCATCTTATGCCCTACAGTCGTCTTTTTGTTTACATGCCTGGCTTGAAGAACTGGGTTTGAAGGGGTTTTGACTGCAACTTTTAGCCAAGCCAGATTTTTCAGTGGTCCAGCAGCTCTGATGATCTGTATTTTGTTTAAGTTTTTGAGATGAAGAATGAACACTTACATCAATTACAGTCTCTAGCTCCCCAGATTGCAAAACACAAAGTAATTAATTTTCAGATTATATTTACATC